TYMAAWTYMRRAWYYWAAAAMMAAAAAAAAAACATTTCTTTTCAAAATTTTCATGACATGGATCATAGAATTCGAAAATAGTTTTAAAAAACAAACTATCAAGTATGTATTCACCGAATCTAAAAACAATAAATAGAATCTAAATTACGTACCAAACCGTCCCTAAAAAACCATATAATAAAAATAAAGTTAACCTAATTTCTAACCCATCCACGTCCAAGAGGGAGAGAGAAAAAAAACATTTCCCAAAATTTTGGAAGATTTATTAAAAAAACCATATAATAAAAAGTTAACCTAATTTCTATTCATTTCAAAGAAATAGGTTTTTATTTATTTATTTATTTTCTGACATGATTTGGTTTGAAACAATCTTCAGGAACAGCTGCACCCACCATTCACCGCCACCCAAATCCAAGACCGCCGCCACCAAGATCTCCGGCCGCTGCCGGTCATCTTCCACGACGGCCGCCTCGTGAACCGCCCAACTCCGGCCACCGCCCTCCTAATCCTCCTGTGGGTCCCTTTAGGCATAATTCTCGCCATCCTCCGAATTTCCATCGGCTTAATTTTACCAATGTGGGCCATCCCCTACGCCTCCCGCCTCTTCGGCGGCAAGGTCATCGTCAACGGCACTCCCCCGCCGCCGGTCTCCGGCTCCTCCGCCACCACCGCCGGCGTACTTTTCGTGTGCACCCACCGCACCCTGATGGACCCCGTCGTCCTCGCCACCGTGCTCCGCCGCAGAGTCCCCGCCGTGACCTACTCCATCTCCCGCCTCACCGAGATCCTCTCCCCAATCCCCACCGTCCGATTGACCCGGATCCGACATGTCGACGCGGAGAGAATCAAGCGCGAGCTGGGGAAAGGCGATTTAGTGGTGTGCCCCGAAGGAACGACATGTCGGGAGCCGTTTCTTTTGAGATTCAGCGCGCTTTTCGCGGAGTTGACCGACAGGATCGTTCCGGTGGCGATGAATTACCGGGTGGGGTTCTTTCACGCGACGACGGCCCGGGGATGGAAGGGGCTGGACCCGGTTTTCTTCTTCATGAACCCGCGGCCGGTCTACGAGGTGACCTTTCTGAACCAGCTGCCGGTCGAGGCCACGTGTTCGGCGGGGAAGAACCCGCATGAGGTGGCGAATTACGTGCAGAGGATTTTGGCGGCGGCTTTGGGTTTCGAGTGCACCAATTTTACGAGGAAAGATAAGTATAGAGTGTTGGCTGGGAACGATGGGACGGTGTCGTATGTGTCTTTCATGGATCAGGTCAAGAAGCTGCTGACTAAATCCAAGCCGTTCATTCAGCTGATGTGAGAATCAACGGTTCAGATTGGTCTGTTTTGTTAATTAGTTTTTCTTTTTTCTTTTCTTTTTTGGGTGTTTTTATTTCTGATTGGAATTTGTGAATTATTATTTTTGTCGAAATGTAAAATAAAATTTGAAGATTGGCTTTAATATGGTCGAATTCTTTATCTTTTATGTATGTATATATTAAGACTTTAGTTTTCAGGGTGGCTTTCACACCAAACAGAGCGACTCTTTAAATAATATATAATTTAGTCTGTTGTGTGAATTTCGTTTTATTTCATTGCTTTATAAAAATTTAATTTGAATTAGTTTCCTTTACTATACTAAAATATTAAATTTACGGTTCATATATGTTTTTAATAATGACACAGGTTTCTCAAAAAAAAAAATAGAATAATAATAATAATGACACAGGGGAAATATCACGAGAAATTTTACAGAGATAGGGAATTAAATAGGAGGCGAGAACGGTAAAACCTTCCTTTCTATGCCCCCACCTGTAAACATCGTCCCTAATGTAAATGGTTGGTTCCCATGAGAGACCAGGGATTTTTTTAAGAGAAAATGTTTACAATTATCTTGAGTTATTATAAGTATGAGATTTTTTAGGAGTTGTGTGGTGAAAGAAAATCTATACAATTTTTAGGCTCAAAATGATTCAGAAAAGCCAATTTACCATAAAGATAAATTTGTTATCCTTAATCCCTAATACTTAAAAAGGAACTYCCTARAGTTTCTTCAAGATCTCACACTTAACTATACTTAACTTGTCTATAACAAAGTTGCAATTGTAAATATGACAAAAATATTTAGTAAAATTAGTCAAATAACAATCACATTTAGATTTTTCAAATATAACATTTTTTTATAAAAGAAAAACAGAGATCCAATTTTAAAACGACAATTTTATCCGAATGATATACATTTGTAATTATATATCTATAATATATCTGTAATATGTTTGACTACTGAATATATTATTGATATGAATGTTTGATATACTATTGATATGGGTATCTGACATATTGATATAAGTGAAAATATGCTATATTTGAAAATTAAAAAATAGATGACATATTTTGAAATATATAAAATATTTTTGCTACCCATTGCAATTTCCSAAAAAAGGCGAAGTAATACAAAATATCTCTAACACATCATTGGTTTGAATTTTACCCCWAATGTTTTACAAATTTCAAAATTTAATTCTACATCAAATATATTTTAATTGAATTTTCTTAAGAAAACTATCAATTAGTAACTTCCATCAAAGTGTCTCGTGAAAATCAAGAGATTGCAATTTGTCGTGGGAGGAAAATCGTGATGCCACGTGAGGACAGAGAATCGTCCACGTAAGTCGCAATTTTGGATAGGTCGACCAAGGTGGAACACTTAGTTATTTTTCCTTTGTTTTATTTTTATTGAGGGTTCGATCTAGTCCAAGACCGACATGTCGATTCTGATATGTCTGATCTGCCATCCGACACAAGTAACTGTCGGTTGGGAGATTTGTCGAATCCCAAACCTATAAATAGAGGGCACCATTTCTACACCAGGTATCGAATTTCTCCTCGAACTTTCTTGAGTCCGAGATGTTTACTGACTTGAGCGTCGAAGAGTTTACTCTCATTCCGTAGCATGCCAAGTCGACGAGTTTTTGTGTCCGTCGACCTTGACTAGGTCTGACCTTGTCCCAATTTTTGCAGAAACATAGTTTAAATAAAAATTATAAAGCACGGTACTTTCTCTTAAACTAATGACAATTATGATAGTTTTTATCAGGTTAAATACTATGGATTGTAGATGTGATTTTCATGTTTACTTGGACTGTCACGAGATCTCAACTTATCTGAAAAGCGTATATACTCTACACGGGTGTACTTAAGCAAATTAAATTGCATCTAATATGTGATCTACAACATCAAATGGTCTATAATCASCCATATACCAAAAAAATTGAAGGTTAGAGTCTAYGGACCASTACAAAATGAGGAAGGAATGAGACAAATCACAAATTTGAGACCACAAAATCATATCTCTTAAATACTATTCTAATCAACAACATATCATATAATCAAAGACGTGGTTTAATTTTGAATGGTAATTTTAAACCATGACTTAGGTAAATTAGGTTCAGCAATTTATCTCCTTTATTTTTGCCACTTAGTTTCAAAATTATATTATCTTGTGAGATAAATATTTTTTAAAATAGAATCCTTTAACACAAAAGAATATTCAAGCATTTTTAATCATATCCAAACAATATGCTTTGTAAGGTTCCAAATGATATTTTTTGGGGGGGAGAAAAACAGAGACCTRACTTTGGAAATTAAAGAAAGAGATTCTGATGACAACAACTTTTATGGTCAAAGCCATAATTGTAGCTCTGAAAATAATAAATTGAAGCTTGAAAGAAAGTGATGACTTTGAGAATAGCTTTTTAGAAGCACATTCCTCAATATATATTGCAAATACTTCCAAAAAGAAATATTTCCACATCACCCTCTCCATTTTTATTTTTTTGCAACTCCAATTATTGTTACACATTAATTACCACAACTCATTTGATTCCCATACCCCTAAATTCTGCATTCTGCATTCTGTTTCATTTTCCCTTCTGTACCATTCTTCTAGGTTCTCGATAAATTTAAAAAATATATATATAAGAAGTAGTTATAACAAACATTTATTGTTTCTCATCCTCCAGGATAGGAGAAGAATAATATTTAAGATTCTACGGGTCTCCTCCCTACCACTATTAAAAAATTAACAAAAGAGAAATAAATAAATAGAGAAAATATATTTTTTWAAAAAATAAGTAGTTATCAATTTTTAATATTAATAAATATTGAAAATACTTTTTTTCATACATACACAGGTGACAATTATAACTAAACTAAGCTAATAACTTCTAAAAGGGCGTTAATAAAGATATCCGGGAAGGATCTAGATTTTTAAAAAAAAATTTAACAACTTCTTAGTTTTATTAAAAATAGGAAATATATATATATATATATATATATATATATATTTTTAGTATTTCACTCTTCTATTAGTTAGAAAAAGATGGATATTGACGGATAAGTATGGATATCTATCTAAATCGTTATATGCCTTATTCAAATGATAGTTAATAGTTTTAGTAAATAACATTAATTAATGAATATGATTATGATTCAAGAAAATATTTAATAAATAATATAAAAAAAATCATKTTCATTTCGCTTGATTTGTATTAGTACGTAAATGAGTTTTTAAATATTAAAATTTCTTAACTCAAGCCGTTTCTTAAAAAAGTTGTTAATTGAAAGTCGGTTAAAATTATTACAATTTTTATTAATATATATATTTGAACATGTGACCATGAATTTTGTTGATGTGTATCTCAAATTGAATCATATCACATGTCAACTAGCATATATTCGAGTAAAACTTCTATATGTTTGAATAGATTAATAAAACAGTAAATTAATGTTATATAAATTTATTTTATACATTAAGCAAAACATTTATAATTTTATTAAAGGTTAAAAACACTCCGATCTTTGTATTTTCATTCAAGTAACAATTTAGTCTCTCTAGTTTAAAGTCGATAAATATTTAATCTCTATAGTAAAAAATTCTATTAATTTTATTAAGTTTTTTATATATGTAGATCGATAAATCAAGGAGAGACCACATATATTTATAAATTATAAAAACAAAATAATTATATGATAAAAATTGACATTTAATTTTGATAAGATTTTTCATAGTTAGAACAAATTGTTATAAATTTTAAACTATAAGAATTAAATACAAAGACGAAATCGTTACAAATTAAAACTTGAGGACTAAATCACTATTTTAGTGAAAGTTGAAAGACTAATTAGAATTTTCGACCCCTTTCAATAATTAAGTTGGATTTTTTTACCCCTGACTCGTGACCCCTCAATATATTTTTTTTTCGCTTTTTGTACTTGTGTAAAGACTAAAATACCCTCACATTTTTTTTTTCTAACTCCATGTTTCTCCTAACTTTTCTTTTTAACTTTTTTTTTTCAATTTATCTTTTCCATTTTGATAAAATCGGTAAAAATTTTAGAAATTCATAAAAGAAAAATTATAAGTGAATTAATGTCCATCTTCTTGATTTTTTTTTTCAATTACAAACCTAATACGTAAAAAATCTAACGTTTTAATTTGATTTTTTTTGTTTTCAATTACGAACTTAATATATAAAAAATCTAACTTTTTAATTTGAAGAATTAATTATGAATTGAAAAAAAATACCTTGAATTTAATTAAAAATAAATGCCCAAATATATATTAAAAAAAGTGGAATTACATGCAATTCCGAGTCCACAATAGCATGCAATCCCAGTTTTTCTTATTTTATTTTAATATGGCCATTTATTCTTGACCCTCCTAATTAAATTTTGATTATGCTTTTAGGATATGTAGTAACTATCAATTTTTTAAACTTTTTAATCATGTTTCGATGATTTAAGTATCCCCTCACTTAGATGTGATATCAGTTCATCCATGTACCCCTCATCTCTACTCAAGCGTCACATTCCCATCAGCTTCCGTTTGGTTTGTCCTGGAACCACATCGTACTAGATGGGGTTATACCATTTGTAACGCCTAAGGCCTAGGATTTGGACAAGGATTCAGAATCAGAATTCGACACCTAATTGCCTCGACATTTCATTGCGACCTGACTGTGCCACCGTTTCTATCTAAGCTACTCAGAAGAGCAAAGACTATCCCTATAGACCAACACAAATTAAAAAGTTTGGATTTTTTCACATTAGATTTAAATGGGGAAGAAAATGTAAGGTTTAAGGTGGGAGGTTGGTGGAGGACCAAAATTTTGGAGAATTTTACTTTTTTTTTAAAAAAGGGAATGTTTTGGAAATTTTTCATTGGACAGTGAGAATGGGTCAAAAATTAAAATAGAAAGGGTCAAACGTCCAAATAAAATAAAATTAAATATATCAAAATTCCAAATTTCTCAAGTTCGAGTACGAAACGTGTTTTTTACCATTATAGAGAAGGTTAAAGGACCATTTGGTAAATTTATCCTTAAATTTAAACGTTATAATTAGTTAAAGAAAAAAACAAGAAAAATTTTGTTTTATTTATTTATTTCAATGATATCCAATTCCTCCACGCGTTGAAAAGTTAAAATTCGAAGCGGCAAACGGCTGGTCAGTCGGCGAAGCACGCAGCATTTCCGTCCATCTTTCGCATCTTAACGCCGAATCAAACTCCGTTAAGATCTAACGAACAGTATTCCACCACGTGTCGAGAAGGCAAAAGCGTTGATAACACGCTAACGGAGACGACGCGGTTTTACCGTTTAGAGCCTCTCCATTATAATCTGTACTTTTGATTTCCACTTTTCTTTACATTCCCAAATCCTCGTCGTTCGGAACCCGAACGAACCACTTGTTTCCTTCTCCAAGCTTTCCCACCCCAATTTCGTTGGCCCCACAGTTTCTAGGGTTTCATAATTTTTCAAATTCACACTCCTCATAATCCCACCCCCCAATTCCTTCTCTTTTTTTCTTGTTTCGTCTGTTGTTTCTCTTCAGTTTTTAGGTTCTGTACGGGCATTTTGATCGTTTTTTCCTTTTTGGTTGTTGTTGTTGTTGTTGTTTGGATCGTTTTCTGGTGTTGGGAGGTTTAGAATTTTGTGGGATTCTTCGATTAGGGGGATTGCTGGTTGATTGGATTTAATTTCGTTGATGTCGTCGATGGCGGCGGCGTCTTCCTATTGGTGCTACCGATGCAGTCG